CAGGGCTCAACCGGCGGCCAGGGCTCAGCCAGCCAGCATCGAGGCCCCTCCCCGGCACAGCACCGGCCTTGGCACCTGTCTGTCCAACCAGCAGATGGTCATGGAGTGCCTATTGTGTCCTTCATGCCCCAAAAGCCCAGAGGAGGACCCCTGGCTTGGGAAAGGCTTGTTTGGAGCAAGCACAAGAACACAACGTAAATACTCAGGAAATAACCAAAACCTCGAGGGGGTGGGGTGGTAATTCTAGTTTTAAACACCCCCCAAAAAACCCCAACAATGGAACCCCCCAACCCAGAACTCCTGCTATTGGGACCCTCCAGGACAACGCCCACAGTGTGAAACAGCTGGTGGGCTTGAACTGTCCACCTTCCAGTGACCAGACAAGTGCCCTAACCACTTCACCAGGCTCCCCATTTTCGGGGAAAGCACGCATATGATCCTCTGCAATCAGACCTCGTTATTAAAACGAAAATTCAACAGAAATAGAGTAATTTTGTGTTCTTCCGTTGCACTAACCACATTTCACACAGACAACAGCTACATGTGGCTAGGGGCTACCACACTGGGTAACACGAATCTATTTCCAGAATGTTCTATCGGACACGAGGCTCAGACCCTATTGGCTCCCTAGACCTCGTCGGCCGTACACGCCGCTTCTGCTAACACTTATGCTTTGCCAGACGAGGAATTTCCTGCGGACAGGAAGGGCCGGTTCACCTTTACGTCCCCCCCGACCCTGCACCTGTGCGGCCCAAGCCCCCAACTCCCCCAGGAAGCCCCTCGGCTACTCCCCAAGGCCTTCAACCAGCCAACTTCCGGCGAGAGGCGGGCAAGGCGAGCGGGCTTCCGCTCTATCCACCAATCAGGGACCGCCACGCTCCACACCTACCAATCACAAACGCCTCGCTACCGCCGACGCCCCCTGCCGAGTAAAGGCACTTCCGGTGCCTCCCGGAAGTCACGCTGACATTCGCAGAACCGAGCGCGAGAAACAGCAGCAAAGAGACGGAGGAGAGAAAGGGCCCAGAGGCGGCGGCGCTGCTACTTACTGTAGGAGTAGCTGCTCACTTCCGAGGTGAACGGAGAGTGGCTGGCCTTGGACGCGCCTCTGGCCTTGAACCCCACCTCCATCTTCCTGGCTTTAGCTGCCCTTTTGTGTTTATTGTCCCGGGAAGCTTTGAGGGACAGGCCGAGGCCTTTGGCCAGGGCCTTTCTGTCCTTGCCGAGCAGGCTGTCATAGGAGGTCAGGTACCTGCTGCAGCCCCCGCCAGCTTTCAGTTTCCCCCCACCACTGTCCGAAAACTTGAAGGCCGCCGACTTGAGCTTGTCTTGCTTGGTGAGGGACAGGGCCTTGTCCAGCTTGCTTGCCAGCTGCTCCTGGTCGCTGGCCATCTTCTTCTTCTTCACCTTCAGCTGCAGAGGAAGTTGGGTCACAGGTTAAGGAGGGGGACAGAGTGGCTGCGGGGTTTTCGGGGCGTGAACCGGGGACCCGTCCTTCCCACTGGCCTAACCTCCTCTTTGCCTCGGTTCCTAAACTCTGCAAACCTGGGCGCCAGCTCGGCGAAAGCCCTCGGACCCCACGAGCCAATGCTCAGGAAACCGCTTTCCGGCCCTGGAAACCCGGTGGGGCCCCATCCCAGGTCCCTGGTGGCCGGGACTGCCTGTGGCCGAAGCCTCGTGAAGACAGTGGACAAGCGGCACTGGCCACAGCCAAAGCCTCATGGAGAGAGAGCAGCCAGTGCTGCACGTACACCTAATGCAAGCTGACCACTGTTAGCTGCTGCTGCTGTGCCCATGGGGGCCACTGGGGCTGACACTGCCACCCCAGCTTTCTGGGCCCTCCTAGGGCATCGCCCAGACAAGCCCAGCTCACCCTGTACTGCAGAAGGCAGCTGGATTAAAGGCAGAGGAAGGGAACCAAGATGGAAAAACAGATGCAGCAGAGCTCAGCTAAACTCAACCACCTTAAACCAGCCGAAGACAAGGGCTCAGTGAGCAAGAGGTACCCCAAAAATGCCCAGTGTGCGTGGGCCGCCTGAGCTGAACGTATGATTAGAGATTTCTCAAGTTAAATTCCTGTTTACATCTCTCGCCAAGAACAGCCATCTGTTACCGTGAAGTGTGCCATTTCAGACCAACTCGTGTCCTTCATTGAATGCTTTCTCTCCACTGCTCTAATCTAGTAGCATTTCATGAGCCAAGTTGGCTCGCATCATTTGAGCAATACAAGAATCTGGAGGTAGAAATCCCGCGCTCTGCATCAGGTTCCCTCTGTGAGCATCTCTGATGATCAGGTCAACCCAAACAGCCCTCTACACAGGGCTGGGGGGCGGGAGGCGCAAGGTTGACTGGTCTTCAGAGATGGGGGCTGTACGCAGACAGTTCCCATGTACCATAGAATAAGAAAAACTAAGGGCCTGATGCTCACCCATCAACCCGAGAACATTCACGGAGGAAATTACAGAGGCATCAGCCCTTGTTCAAGTGCAGAAAAAGGAAGCTGCTCATTAAACAATTACACTGTTCAACAACAGAGTAATTGTGTTTTTTTACTAAAGAACATGAAGTCTCCCTGCTTCTTGGCTTCAGAAAAGGAGCATGTAGGCATGTTACATGGACGGAGCCATGGAGGCTGAGTTTGCCAAATCTCTGACCACAGCAGGTCCTCAATTTCCCTTTCTCTATATAATAAAAAAGATCCCGGAGGAGCACAGTTTGTGGAAGACTATGAACCTATAGGTAGGCAGTTCAAATCTGCCAATGCACCAGAGGAGAGTCCTGGCTAGCTGCATCCATGAAGACAGTAGCCAAGAGAGTCCCTTCTAAACTCCCTGGTCTGAGCCAGATAAAAACAACAGGGAGGACGGTACCTATGGGGTGGTTTGGGGGTCTTTCCGGTTTTGAGTACACAGGAAGGAGGCGCACGTCACTGTGGCACAGAGACAGCCCTTTCTACGACTTCTGTACTGTAGTCAGCAGGGACTCCACAGCGTGGACTCTCAAGTGCCGTCCAGGCCCCGCCACCAGAGGCTCTCCTCACACTCAGGAAGCTGGGTCACTGACCTGGCTCATGAAGTCGGAGGGTTCATGCTCATCCCAGGCCTGGCTCCTGCCCCTGGCTTTCCCAAGTCCTATGAGGGCGTCATGTTCCTCCTCGGCCCCCTTGTGCCTCTTCCGTAGGCCTGCTCCCAGCTCAAAGTCATCGGACGTCAGCAGGGACTTGCTGCTCACCCTGAAACCCAGAGGCGTTACCAGTCAGTGCCCAAGCCAGGCTCAGGGGCCACCCCTTTTGGCCCTGCACACAGGGATCACAGGGATAAGTCTGGGATACTTGCAAGTGAGGCTGAATGAGAATTTCATGAGAAAACAGCAAATGAGCATTGTCTGTCAACCTTCCCTCCCACGTATACACGCAAACACACCGCACGTACACACCTGTGTCATTAAAGACTGCTTACTGCTTCGCTCACCACGCACTAGGAGAGGGAAACTAAAACGCCAGGCAAATCCACGTCAGGAGAGTGCAGGCGGGATCAAGCCTGAGGAGTTCCCACGAAGGAACATCAGATGGCCTGCTGGGCTGGCCTATCCTGTACCACCCCTGAGCTAAAGTGTCCCCTTCGGGTTACCAGAACGTCTCCCTGCCGAAGTGACCACGCCATCCACACTCCCTAAGCTTTAGGGCAGTTGTTGAGAACCATGAGCTCAAGCTCCGCGTCAGAATAATACAAGCAGCTCACTCGTCATTTTTTAAACACTACTTTTCCTGTAAGGGAGCTCCGGGTGCTCCAGCCGTTAAATGCTTCCCTGCCGTTAAAAAGGCGGGTAGTTCCAGCCCACCCAGCACCTCCAAGGAACAAAGACCAGCAGTCTGCTTCTGTAAAGACGACAGCCTGCGCAACGCCTCTGAGCAGCGTGACCCTGTCACACGAGTCACTATGCATCGGAATCAGTGGAACCCAACGACAGCCATGCCCTGTGCTGTGGGCATCTGTGTAACTGCCAAGCAATGCTTTGTAGCACAAGCACTTTACAGACGGGGACGACGGGGCTCAGAAGACCTGTCGGTGGGCTGAGGTCATCACTGGTGGGAGCCAGAAGTTCGCCCAGCGTCAGGACTCAACTCCACGGAGGTCCATGCTGGCCCTGGCCGCCTGAGAACAAGGTGTTTCTTCCTTTCTTCTGTCAGGAGCATCCAAGGAGGTCCACACAAGACCAGGGGCCCATGGGCCATGTTCTCCTGATTAACCTGGGCCTCCCATGAGCCTTCCGAAGGCACCTAAGGCTCCCTCTGCTGCCACAGGCCGAACGCCGAGCCACCTGGGTGTCCACCGCCAGACGTCCCAGGCTGAGGGACGGTCCAGCCAGATCTGATGGGCTTAGCTCTGCTCATTCTGCCCGAACCCCGGGGAGGAGCGAAGCTCTGCCCCTGCTCATCCAGGGTCCCGGAGGAAGAGCTCCCAGTCCAGCCAGTGTCCAAGCAGACCTCCGGGAGGCGTTACACAAAGCTTCAGAGACACCCAAGGAGCGTGTCCCCAGAACTCAGTGGAGGGAGCCCTGAAGGCAGGGGGTCACCAGGTCCAGCTGAGGCAGGATGCTTGGCGGACGCAGGGCACTCAGGCAGGATCGGGTCTGGCCTGGGAGGACGCAGGCACAAGGTCTCTCGCTGGCTCCTTGCTCCCACGCTGGTGGCTCGGTCACTCCTCACTGGCCCTCCGGGCTCTGGCACCAGTGCCCGGCGAGCGCCCCTTGTCCAGGCAAGCCAAGCCCCAGGGACCCAAGGTCCCCCAGCCAGCCACAGGAGCGCGGGGGCCAGCAGCCCAGGCACTCTCCTCCCCTCCGAGCTCTGTCAGCCCCCGACCCACCGAGGGGCCAGCCTTACTTTCCACTACTGTCACGGCTCTTCACTCTCTGGCTGGGGGGCGACAGGGCGCTCAGGGCGTGGGTCCGTTTCCTCGGCCTGCCAGGGCCTCGGCGGGTCAAGCTTCTATGGGGGTCCTCACTCCCATCCCTTAAAGAGAATCACAGGCTCGGCTGTGAACCTGGGGGGACGAGGGCACGAGGAAGGACGTGGGACACACACACACACACGCGCACGCACACATCTGAACACCAGTCCCCATGAGCCAGTCCTACGCAGCCTGGCCTGGGGCCATGGGGCAGTGGCAGTACCACCCTCGGTCCACATTACTCAGGAGGGCCCAGCGGGCAGGGTGGACACTGGGGCACACTCTGTCCCCGGCAGACGGCACACGCCGTCACAGCCTGGCCTGGCCCGCTGGCCGCGCCAGCAGGCAGACGGGGACGTGGAGGCACACTCACTCGGAGTCCCGGTGCCGCTGCAGCTTGACCAGCTCACGCTGCTTCTCCTTGTACTGCCGCTGTAACTCGGCCAGCCTCATGCGGAAGTCCAGCTCCATGGCGTCCATGCTCTCCAGGGAGGACTTCATGGCATACATCTGCAGAGGGCGAGAAAGATGAAGGGTGCTGGCCCAGAACCCCGACACCTTCCACAGCGAGGCCCCCCGCACGAGCTGATCAGCAGCGACCTTGTGCACCAGGCAGTCTCGTCACTTACAAGATGACCAGAGCTCACGGCCACCCCAAGAGTGTCAGGACAGAACTGGACCCAAGGGTTTTCCTGTCCAAGCAGAGAGCCAGGCCCTTTGTTCCAAGGTGCCAGTGCCTGGCCTCAAACCTTGGGTGAGCAGTGGGTGCGCCCAGGGGACAGGCCACAGCACTGACTCAGCCGAACCATCTACTCGATGGGAGCTTACAGACAGACCACCAGCCCTCAGGCCAGGACTGTGACGCGTGGGGACTCGGGTCCCCAGGCCAAGTGTAGCCCTAAGTCTGCTCTCGTCACAATCACTACTCATGGCTGGAGGTTCTCACATGGGGAAACTGAGTCATGAGGCACAGAGACAGGATGCGGAGGACAGCAAGTCGGGTGGAAGCTGACTGCAGGCCTGGCCCTTCTGACCCCAAAGGCGGCCGGGCTCTAGCCAAGACCCCCCTACTCCACCTCCCCGGCCCATCCACGTCGGCCCTTTACCCGCTCCTCCTTCTTCTGCATCCAGCTGTACTTCTTGTTGGGGTTGAGCTCGCGGGGCAGCCGCAGGTTCTTCAGCGGGTCCACGAAAGGGCTGTCCAGCACCTCCTGAAGCATGTGGCTGCTGGCTGCCAGTAGGCTCTCCAGCGAGGGCCGCACCCCCACAGCACGCTCCGGACCTGCAGACAGGGCCAGGTGAGCCGGGAGGCGGGGGACTCGGCCCAGGGCATGGCAGCCAGCCCCTCTCTGGTCCCCCACATGTGAGGCAGAGGCCAGAGGCAGCCAAAGGCCACCGTGAGGTCCAGCTGGAGAGAGCAGACCCAAGACTGTGTGGGCTGACCAAGCAAAGGCGAGGACAGCCATCCACGGCCAGCACTGTTTCCTAGGAACTCAGCTCTCGAACTCATCTGGGCGTAACATTTCCAAATCAGAACATGCGTAGTGTTCCTCCTCAGAAATAAAGAAGAGTGGAGAAAACTAAAGACATACGAGTAACTGGTCCAGAGGACTAATGGGCCGTGTGGACCTCACCCCCTCGGTCCCTGGTGAACCCTGAGACCAGGAGAACCAGGTGGTGCCCAGCCACCACTGCTGACCGCTCTGATCGAGGCAGATCGGGAACATCTGGTACAAAACTCAGTCATAAAAAAGACCAGCCTTTCTAATCTGATAGAAAGTCCAACGGAACGAGACAACGGCCTTTAGTGACCCCCAACTCACTCCCATGGCTCAATTTTCAGGCAAACAACAGAGAAGTCTAGATGGTGAACACCAGGGAGATAGACACTGCTCGGAACAATCATCATACAGTATCAGAAGGGCAGCATTTTACAGGGAGAAAGCTGAGGAGGAGGAAAGAGAGGAAAAAAGGACAGAAGGAAGCCATGAACACAGGGAGGAAGAGGGAGGGGGGCTGCTCCATCGTGGGGACTCCAAGCAACGTCACAGCGAAACGTGGATGAACTGTTCACAGGGAGACCGGTCTGCTCTGTAAACTTTTACCCAAGTCACAAGGAACCAAGCAGGAATCTAGAAAAACCTGACTCTTTCCCAACCACAGGCCTCCTCCCGGAGGGCGCTATTGGTACCTGCTGGAAGGTTCCAGAAAAAGCTTCACATGCTCACACCTGTGCCATACATGGAAGCCTTTTTAAAATTGCATGTATAGCAGTCGCCAAGATGTTGTTCCCAAGGTACAAGCCTCGCCGTCCTACATGCTACCCTCGGCCCAGCTGGGTCAGCGTATCTCTGGAGACCCGGCGGCTCCATGTGGGTGGCTGTCCTTAGATCCCGGCCTAAATAACAGTATCACCTCAACTACCCCAACCTTCGGTTGAGTATCACAGATCCTGCCTTGACTCGCTGGACCTATGCAGGGTCAGCAAACGTCCATCCCAACTGCAGGCCCAATCCCAAGACCTCGCTCCTGGGAACCACCACTGGCACTGGGACCCTCTTCTTCTGGTATTTTCAAAACTCACAGAGGTAACAGAAAAACGTATCCGGGAAAGAAAATGGAGCTAACACTTAACAACTCCTATTAAGGCTGACAACAATGACTATGTATTATTGCTTAAATAAATCATCTATTGATCATTTTTTTAAAATGCATGTATATATGAAGTTCAAGCTGCTTTGAAAGAAATAGCAAAAAATAAGGCCCTAGGAATAGATGGTATACCAACTGACATATTTCAGCTAACAGATGCTGCCCTGGATGTGGCTCACCAAGTTGTGCAAAAAAATCTGGAGAACAATCACCTGGCCTACTGACTGGAAGAGATCTATATTTGTTCCCATTCAAAGAAGGGTGACCCAATAGAGTGTGGAAACTATAGAACAATATCATTGATTTCACACACAAGCAAGATTCTATTGAAGATTATTCAAAAACGACTGGAACAGCACAGCAGAGAACTGCCAGAAGTCCAGGCTGGGTTTAGAAGGGGTCGTGGTACTAGGGATATTGTAGCTGATGTTAGATGGATCTTAGCTAAAGCAGGGAATACCAGAGGAATGTCTAACTGTGTTTCATTGACTATGCAAAGGTGTTTGACTGTGTGGATCATAACAAACTGTGGCTGACTCTGAGAAGAATGGGAATCCCAGAACATTTAATTGTGCTAATGCGAAACCTATACTTGGACCAAGAGGTAGTAGTCAGATCAGAGCAGGGAAACACTGCATGGTTCAAAATTGGGAAGGGTGTGCGCCAGGGATGTATCCTATCTCCATACCTTTTCAACCTGTATGCAGAATAGATTATCCGGGAGGCTGGGCTCTATGAGGAGAAATGTGGGGTCAAGATTGGTGGAAGATCTATCAACAATCTGCAATATGCAGATGATACAACCCTGCTCACTGAAACTGAGGAGGACCTCATGCACTTGCTGCAAAGGGTCAAGGACCGCAGCCTCCAATATGGATTGAGGCTCAATGTCAAGAAGACAAAGATTCTCACCACTGGGCCAATTGGCAGCATCAGGATGGATGGTGAAGAGATTGAGATTGTTCACAGCTTCAGTTTGCTTGGCTCCACAGTCAACACTCTCGGCACCAGCAGCCAGGAAATTAGAAGACGTATTGCCATGGTTAAGGCTGCTCTTAGGGATCTCTCCAAAGTGCTGAAGAGCAGTGGTGTCTTTCTGGAGACATAGGTGCGTCTGATACAGACCATGGTCTTTGCTATAACTTGTTATGCATCAGAGAGTTGGACAATGACTAAGGAGGATAAAAGAAGAATTGATGCCTTTTAGTTGTGGTGCTGGAGAAGAGTATTGAGGGTACCATGGACTGCTAGGAAAACAAGATTCATCCTGGAAAGGGTCAAACTGGGCTGCTCCTTGGAGAGGGACATGATGCTTGGGAGGGTGGAGGGACAGCGCAGGAGGGGAAGACCCTCTATGAGGTAGATTGATTCAGTGACTGGGGTAATCGGGATGGGTGTGTCAGAGACAGTGCGATTGGCACAGGACAGAGCAGAGTTTAGGGCTGTTGTACATAGGGTCGCTATGAGTTGCAAGTGACTCCACGGCACATAACAACAACATCATATGAATGACACCAATCAATAGGGGTGGCCTACATGTGTCTACCATCTAACATCACGTTCTATCTGCAGACCTGCTTCCATCCACAAACCTCACAAAATCTCCTCTTCTGGGGCGCTAACGCACCAGCCAACCAGCAGTTTGTACAGCTGAACTGCACAGCCGCAGCCTGGAATGTTCTGTGATGAAGTGCTCGCAGATCCGCTTCCGTAAGGAAGACGGCCCAGAGCTGCCTAGGGCACCTCCTGACCTGGGGAAGCTGACTACGTGAAAACTGGCTGACATGCCCCCGATTCTGCACTTTCAGGGGATGCCTCACGCCAGCAGCGCCCGCCTTACAATCCAACACACCGCACAGAGCACTGCCGCACGTCACCCGATGTTACCACCCCGATGTTCACACCCTGGTGTCAAACTAGATTTAGAAAGACACCGAGTAAAGAAGAGGGTCTGTGCTTCGGCTGTTCCCAATTTTTTCTGTGAGGCACAGGCATGCCCACAGCTAGGGCCACACTCCATCAGCGCAGTTCACACACACGCAGAGGTGGGCACTCAACTCTCAGAAATATCGTCACACACCCTCAGAAAGGGTGCCCCACCTGCAATCTCAGCCCTGGTAAACGAGCGTCCACTTCCCATCTGACATCTATCAAAGAAAAGTGAGCTGTTTCTAATTTTCTACTAATGGTTCCTTTGTGATCCAATACACAATTTGGGGCACATTCCTTGGGCAAAAACCCCATTCTCCATTACCAACATGTAGGTCCCACGGACATTGGGTCAGGGTCTCCAGAGCCTAACTTTGATGCCAGGGGTCATTCTCTAGTGTTTATCAGCACAGCCGGCCTCTGGCCACTGGGTGTCAGTAGCACACCCTCCTCCTCCACGCTGTGCCCAGCACATACTCTTCCAAACTCTCCCCTCCAATAAAATTATTCCAGGGATAAAGATCAAAAGGCAGGAAGGACGACTGTGTGGATAATAACAAATCAGGGCCAACAGTGCAAAGAATGGGAAACCCAGAACACTAAATCATGCAAGTACAAAATCTATACCCAGACCAAAAAGGTGTTCTCTAAAGAGAGCAAGGGTTTAAAATCAGGAAAGGTGGTGTGTCAGGGCTGTATCCTCTCTCCGTACCTATTCAATCTGCATGCTGAGAAAAATCACTCAAGAAGCTAGCTGGACTTTTATGAAGAACGTGGCATGGGATTGGAGGAAGACTCACCAACAACCTGTATTATGCAGATGACACAACCTTATTGAATGAAACTTCCTTACTGAGGACTTCAAATGCTTGGTTCAGAAGCTCAAAGAATACAGCCTTCACTATGGATTACCCCTCAACGTTGTTGTTATGCACCATCAAGTCGCCTGCAACTCATAGCGACCCTGTGTACAACAGCCCTAAACCCTGCTCTATCCTGTGCCAATATAACTGTCTCCAACACACCTATCCCCATCGCCCCAGAAACTCAATCAATCCATCTCATTGAGGGTCTTCCTCTCCTGCACTGTCCCTCCACCCTCCCAAGCATGCCGTCCCTCTCCAAGGACTGATCCTGCCTGGCCCTCAGCATTAAGAAGTCAAAAACTCTTACCACTGGGCCAACAGGCAACATCATAACAGATGACGAAAATATTGAAACTGTCAACAACTTCATTTTACTTGGATCTACAATCAACACCCTTGGTACCAAAAGTCAAGAAATCCAGAGATGTATTTCATTTGCAAAGTCTCCTGTCAGGGAGGGATGTCTCTCAAATACTGAGAAGCAATGATGTAAATTTAAAGACTAAGATGTGCCTGACACAAGTCATGGTCTTTCCATCACTTGCTGTGCATCTGAGACTTGGACAAGGAACGAGGATGACGGAAGAGGGGATGCCTTGGAGTGTGGCGTGGGAGAAGAGCACTGCAGACCCCATGGACGGCCAAGGGGACAGACATGTCTTGGAGAAAGCACGCTCCTTAGAGACAAAGGCCGTGAAGCTTCGTCTCACATCGTTCAGACACAGTGTGAAAAGAGGTTCCTCTTGGAGAGGAGTACCATGCACAGAAAGGTGGAGGGTCAGCAAGAAAGAGCAAGAGCCCAACAAGACGGGGCCACACAGCGACCGCGGTGACG